AGCGCCGCACGAGCGCGGTGCCCAAATCAATATAATAGACAACCTGCGAAGCGACCATCGCCAAGGCGCGCCGCGATCCGCCCAGTGCGCGATCCCCGCGGCGCGCCTGCGCGAGCGACCGCGGCAGGCCCGCGCGAAACAACACAGAAGCGCAAATACGCGACTGCGGGCGGTGCGCGCTGCGGTCGGGCTGCATGCGGCGCGCGTCGCACGCGCCGCGGCGCCGCAGGGCCCGTCGGCCGACCTGCGAGTTGTGCCCGCGCAGCACCCTACGTGTCGTGGTGGCAGCAATCCTAACTGACTGACGGACTGAATGACTGACTGACCGACGTACTGTCTTCCTCTTAGGAGGCCATCTCTGGGCGTCTGGGGGCCGTCCCAGCGCGGTTCGGAATGAGAAACCGACCCCCCAGTGAAGGCATCGGGGGCTCCGTGGGCCAGCGATTCGAGAAGATCTAAAACAAATAATTATTATGGTAGCCAACTTGGACCCCAAACAGGAGGTTCTTAGGATGTAACCTCTGCGGTGCAATCGAATGTGGTGCAATGCCGAGACGAATGCGGCGACGGGGGCGGCGACGGCGGCGACGGGCAGCACCGACGGCGACGGACGGCCCTGCATCCGAGACGAGCGGCGGCAACGGACGGCGACGGGCGGCACCGCCTGCAAAAGCCGGCCCTGGTCCCGAGATACTTAAGATAAGTAGGAACTGTTTGGGCAGAATACATGTGTATATATATATATACATGTACATATATATGTACATATATATATATATACATACATATACATATGGTCGCCCCCCCCCCCCCAGCACCCCCCAAACCACAAAACCACAATTCCATCATTGATCGCCTGCTCCTTCTCATCCTCCTCCTCTTCCCCATCCTCCTCTCCCTCCTCCTCCTGCTCCTCCTGGTCCTCGTGGAAGGATGACCTGTCGCGCTGGAGTTTTGATGCGGCGGTGCACATGGACTCCTGGTGTGGAGGCCATACAAAGGGATTTCCTTTTTGAAAAGCCTTACAAAGGGCCCGCCTTCTGAAGGAAAGCATATGGAAACATCGATAACCCTAATAAGTTTGAAGGTTTTGGTCAGGAAACCCTGTGGCAACACAGATAATCCTGACAAGTTTGGAAGCTTTGGTAAGGAAACCATATGAAAGCACACGAAATCATAATCTGTTTTTTGTTTTCTGGAGACGGGCGTCCCTCCTCCTGCTCCTTCAACAACTCCACGCCCCCCAGGGGCAATGCGCCAGGCAGGAACACCTGCGAAAACACAGATAATCTTGATATGTTGGAAGGCTTTGGCAAAGAAGCCATGTGAAAGCACAGATGACTGTGATATTTTGGAAATGGTTGGTGAGGAAACCTTTCGAAAACACAACTGATCTTGATACTTTTGAAAGTTGTGGTACGGAAGCCGTGTGGAAACACAGATAACCCTGATACTTTCAAGTTTTCTGGGTACGGGCGCCCCTCCTGCTGCGCCTCCAGACTCATTGCAGCGCGCCTGTATCCCGAAAGTCCTGATTTATCAGGAATATCTGTGTTTTCACATAGTTCCCTTACCACTTCAAAATTATCAAGGTTATCCGTGTTTTCACCAGGTTTCCTTACCAACACCTTTCAAATAATCAGGGATATATGTGTTGTCACCGGCTTTCCTTGCATGAGCCTTCAAAACTATCAGGGTTGCATGTATGTTCCACACGGTTCTCCCACCAAAACCTACAAACTTTTCAAGGTTATCCGTGCTTTAACAGGGATTCCTTACCACAACCTTCAAAACTACGCGGATTAGATGTGCTGTCACCAGGTTGCCTTACCAACGCTTTCGCAAATATCAAGATGATTTGTGTCTGTTGATGGTTTCCTTACCAACGCTCCATGGACCCATTTGTGCCTAGTCCTAGACAGCAGACCTTGATCGGCCGACTGGGAGACGTGGGCAGCAGACGCTAGAGAAAGAACAATAGCACAACTATGATGAGGGTGACGCTTTCTGGAAGGTGGCGTTTGCGGCTGCTGCTATACACCCCGTCTTCAGAAAAATCGGGGCAGCCATTGTATAATCGATCAGCTTTTTTAATTACGAGGGGCAGCGTTGACCGAGAGAGAGAGGGAGAGAGGAAGCGAGAGCGAAGGAGAGAGAGAGAGAGTGAGAGAGAGAGAGAGAGAAAAAGTGAGGATGAGGATGCAGAGGAAGAAGAGGAAGATGAGGAGGATGAGGAGGAGGATGAAGATGAGGATGAGGATGGGCATGAGATAAAGGTGGGATATATATATATATATATATATATATACATATACATATACATATATATATATATATATATATATATTCCGTCGACCCGTATCAGAAGGACGCACGACAGTATGCAAGGGCCGTGGAGGGCTATTTCGAAGCTTCTCGAGCGGGGCGCGGCCAGCGAAAGTGGCCAAGGATCGGCCGGAGGGGCAAGGATCCATAGGGACCTTGGGAAGGTTGCCCATCCTTCCGATGGTCCGCTGGATGTATGTATGTAAATGTGTAGATAATGTTTTTTTATTCGGCTTTTCGACATTGAGCGGAAATGGTTGGGGAGGGGGGGGCGGCTGTCTCCAGACCTCTGCTTAGCGCGACTGTTTGCGGCAGTGCGTTCTGTGAGGGGAGGCTCCACCCGCTCAAAACAGGCGCCCAAAACAGCCAAGGTCTACTCATTGGGGGGGACGGGGGATTGGGGAGCCCGCGCCGATCGGCAAAACAAGGAATGAAACAAACGATCACGTACGTCTTATCTCGCGCGATGCCTGGGAACGGGGCGGGGGAAGGCGGAGAAGGAGAGGGCAGGGGGTCACGGAGGCGGAGGAGCCAGGCGAAACCAGGCATCGGGGGCCCAGCCGCGGCCCACGCGTCCCGGAGGCCACCTGCTCAGAGGCCCTTCGGCCCCGAGCACGCCTCGGCGCAGGACTCGCTGGCCGTGCCCGCAGCTCCGGCGGAGGACCGGGCGGAACAATGGACGAGGAGGAGGAGGAGGAGGAGAAAGAGGAGGGGGAGAAGGGGGAGGAGGATGAGGAGGAGGAGAAGGAGGACGAGGAGGAGGACGAGGATGACGAGGACGAGGAGGAGGAGGAGGAAAAGAAGGAGGAGGAGAAGGAGGACAAGGAGGACGAGGAGGACGAGGACGAGGAGGAGGAAGAGGAGGAGGATGAGGAGGAAGAGGAGGAGGAGGAGGAGACGGGGAAACTTCTCCTGGGAGGGAGGCCTCCGCCTCCCGAGAGCCGCGCCGCCCCGAGGACGCGCAGGGGCGCCGGAGCCGCTCCGGACGGCGCTACGAAGGAGCGCCCCGAGAGAGCGCCCCAGAGCGCTCTGGAGCGACTTTGAGGGACAGCGACAGGGGGGGAATGGGGATATGGAGGGGGCAACATCGACCGGCAATCCGCGATGCATCACCCGCAGATTGGCGATAGGCCTCCGATGGTGAACACGCACGCTCCTGGGCAGGTTGGGGCCATCGGGCCCCTGTCGGCGATGAATGGGCGATCGATGCATCATCCCCCCTATGCCTATGCACCTCCCCTATCGTTGCCCCTGAGATTTACGTCTGGCCAAACCTGAGCAGGAGAGCCCTCCACCGAGGACGCGAAGCCCTCCCCCAGCCAAGCCGAAGAGCACTCGAGGGTAGACCCTCCCCCAGGATGCACAAAAACCCTCAGCAGGCACGAAGAACAACAGGGAACCCTCCCTGGTGCCCTCATCCCGGGCATGCCTGAAAAACTGCCACGATGCGCGATTCTCGAACTTCATCCTTGAACCTCGATCGACGACGATGACTGCGGCGGCAACGACGGCCCGCAAGACCGAAGCGTCGCGACCACGCGTTTGTTCCCTGTGTTTGCTTCGGTTTCCCTGTGTTTTTTTCCGGTTTCGTGCGTGGCTTTTTCGCCAAACGATCAAGGATGCTCCTCGAGGGTCCTCGCCGAGGAAAAAACGCACACGTCCGAGCGATGCCAAGTGGAGGAGAGACCTGGACATCCTACGATGCACACTCTCTGCGCGAGCCCGCCGCAGGTCGTGGGCTTTCGCCCCGGATCCACTGTTCATGGCCCTCAGTGAAGGGGAACTGGGACACACAAATAAAGACACACAAATAAAAATATCCCCCATATTTTCCCATATTTTCTGGGTTTTTGTCTTCCCGCCCAATTCCCATATTTTCCCATATTTTCCTAAAAATCGACGAATATTTGTGTCTGTGTTTTTTCCCCTCCTGACTCAGGGCCCGAAATGACGTGCCCCATGGGCCGAGATCGGCGAGAGAACCGTGCTGCAAAAATCAGATCGTCGGAGATCTGGATGACCGGCGGCAGCGCCAGTGTCGGCGGCGACCTCAGTGGGCCCTGTCAACGACAGGGCCGTTTTTTTACCGGTTCCGCTTTGCCGTTTCTTGCCGGTTCCGACGCCGTTTTTGTTACCGGTTCCGTCGCCGTTGTTTGACCGGTTCCGGCTCCGGTTCCAATCCTGGAGCCATTTTTTCCCGTTTCTGGTCGCCGTTTTTTTGCCGTTTCCATTTTCAAGGGACACTTTCTCGGAAACGGTAAAAAAACGGCCCTGCCGTTCCCGGGGCCCACTAAGGCCTGGACATCCTACGATGCACATTCTATGCGAACCCCCACAGGTCGTGGGCGTTCGCCCCGGATCCGCTGCGCATGGCCCTCGGGCCCGATGACGTGCCCCGTGGGCCGAGATCGGCGGGAGAGCCGTGCTGCAAAAATCAAATATCGGAGATCTGGATGTACAGGGGCCCTGGGACACACAAATAAGTACACACACTAATAAAGATATCCCCCATATTTTGCCATATTTTCCGGGTTTTCGTCTTCCCCCCCGCTTCCCATATTTTCCCATATTTTCTGGGGAGTCGACGATTAATTGTGCCTGTGTTTTTTCCCCTCCTGATGGATGACCGGCGGCAGCGCCAGCGTCGGCGGCGACGGCTCCCCCCCGCCGAGCGCCTGCAGCACGCCGACCAGCACCTTGCGCACCGTGTGCTGCTCCTTCTGCGACTCCCTCCCCTGGCCCGTGGTCGAGGGGGCACCGAGGACCCTCGCGGCGCGTCACCGCCGGCGCAGGCTTGTCCGCCGAGAGCCTCGAGCACGACGCACGTGGTGTAGTGAGTGCCGACACCAACCGCGTGCTGTTGGTGGATCTTACCAGGAGAGACACATTGGGACGACGTGTAATTAGGTCGGGCATGTCCCCCCTACAGGCGGAATTTGGGCGACAGTTCAAACATATCCGTGTACAGACAGAATCGGCACACATGAGAAAAATCGTCCCCACACTATTGTTTTACTATGCTTGAATATTCCCCCTGCAGAGGGGCAGGCTTGACTTAAATGCAGAATGACGACGCACAGTGACACATCCGACGGCACGCCAGGGCAGGTCCGCTTTGCCTGGGGGAAGGAGGGAGGAAGGAAGGGGGAGGAATAGGATCGAGGAGGGGGAGCAGAAGGAGAGAGAGGACGGAGGAGGACGGAGGAGAAGACAGGAGGGGGAAGAGGGCGGAAGAGGAGGAGGGGGAGGAGGTGGGAAAGGCTTTCCCGGGTTTTTGTTTAAGATCTGCGGATATGACGTAAGAGACAGCCCTTGGATGGACAAACCACCGACAACGCGCATAGTGTGCATCTGAGTGGGTTTCGGAACGCAAGCTCGCTCAGCTGCCCCACATCTGCAAGCGCTGGAAGAGAGAGAGAGAGAGAGAGAGAGAGAGAAAAAAAAAAAAAAAGAGAGAGAGAGAGAGAGCAACGCGGGCCCCAGTCTCCATTTGGGCGTGGGCGCTTCCGCAAGGGCGAGGACAGATGCGGGAGGGCATGAATGGGAGGAGGACGGAGAACAGGGGAAATAAGGGAGAGCAGAGAGGTGGACGTAAAAAGCGGGATTTCAGCATCAACCACGCGCACTCGTAGGTGACCTCCCACTGCTGCTCACTCGCTCACTCATGCCATACGTCGGAGCGCGCGGGCGAAAGAAGACAGGTTCCCAGCCTGTTCTCACCATTTTGCGGGAGCGGCGGCAAGACGGGGATCGCAAAAATCACAACGTGCGCGGCAAGAGGAGGAGGAGGGAGGGAGGAGGACAATGCAGATAGGACGCCAAGGCACCGGGCATCACATGCAACGTATGTAAACAAAAAACTACATGATGCTACTGGTGACCGGGTTCATCACCATGGTGTGCAACGTGTTCAGCAGTACTGGAGGCCTCCCAGATGGGATCCGAGCAGATGGGGTCGGAGGATCGCGCCGCATCGCCGATACATCGGCGATGTATCGGCGATGCATCGGCGATGCATCGTCGACGTGGGCGATGCATCGGCGACGCCGGCGTGGAGAAAGTCGGGCTCCGCATCGCGCCGCATCGCCGATGCATTGGCGATGCGGCGCGATCCTCCGACCCCCCCTACTCCGACCCCATCTAGGAGGCCTAGAAATACTGCGCAACTCGATGGGGTCCTGCAGGCGCTGCTACCAAGTATGTTCCGGGCCGAGATGAGCAACCAAAGCCTTGTGTAGGCATTTCGCACCACTCGTGTTTGGGTCTGCCTCTCCTCCTTTGATACGCATCCACATCTGAGAGAACTGTGCCGTGGTGCACTGCGCCGGGCTGGAACGTGCCGGGCTGAAACGTGAATGGCCCTGCAGATCGAACTTGAGAAGGGGAGGATGGAAAGGAGGAGGATGAGGGAGGAGTGGAAAGGAGAGAGGCGATGAGGACGAGGCGGGGGGAGGAGAAGGAAGGGTGAGCGTTGAAGAGGACAGGGCTGGATGTGGGAGAAGCGTCGAGGCTGGCGGAGGCGGACGAGAAGGATGGCGGGACAACAGAAAAAGGCCCCCCTGCCCCCGCTTGTCGAACGCGAGGCTCTTGAGCGTCTTGACCTTCGGGGGGGCATCAGCTCGCCACCCGCTCCGGCCCCTGGCCAGCCGATCCCGGGCCCAGAGCTCGGAGCGAAGGCCTCTCCCCGGGCGAGCCAGGAGACCACAGACACCGATCGCGGGCAGAGGGTGGGTTCAGCCAAGATGGGCGATGTTGTCAGCTCCCAGATGGGCGTTTTCTTAGTCGTTGGTTCGAAATTGGGGGCACCGCCTGCGCCCCGCACCCTCCGGCCGCCCGAGGCCCCGCCAGCCCGCGCCCTGTCTCCCCGAGAAGTGCTTTGCGCGCCCCGCCCAGCGCTTAGCCGGAAGAGGCCCGCTCTCGACCCGCAGACCAAAAAAAGTCCGACATCGGGCGGATTGAGGGGGAGGGAGGGCGTCTGGCTCTGGACCTCTGCGAAGTGCGACTCTGTTTGCAACAGGGCGTCCATTCTGGGGGGGCGCTCCACCTACTCGAAACGGGCGCCAGAAACAGCCAAGATCTACTCCGTAAGGGAGCGGGAAAGGGGGGGAAAGGGGGGGGGCGCCGATCAGGAAAACAACGAACAAGAGAACTGTCACCAAACATCCAACAATGTTTCGGCTGTGCGGCCACAACGGTCCCAGCCAGTTCCGCGAGGGCACGGTCGAAAAGCAGTTACACAAGCAACATGGGCGCACAATTAGCAAAACAACATATTCCAAGCGCTGTAATGCGAATATAATTGCAGACGCATCGAAGACGAATCGGCCGACATCTTGAGGCTATCGTGGGCGTCTTGGAGCGCTCTTGGGCTGTCTTTGGGGCCTCTCGTACCGCTCTTGGAGCTCTTGGCGCCATCTGGGGGCGTCTTCATCCTCCCGGCGCGATTCAAGCGCGCTCCTGCAGCCCTGGGGCCCACGCGGCGCGTCGAGAGGCCGCCCTTGGAGCCAACAACCCTGTGAATGTATGTATAGATAAAGAGAGAGAGAGAGAGAGAGATTTGAAACATCAAAAAGTGAGGGGGCCGAACAATCATTCATTGTCCCTGGGAGAGAGGTTGGAAAGTGGATCCGTGGTGAAGAGTATGCTTGTTGCGTTGTTGTTGTTGTCGCTGTTGTTATTGTTGCTGCGGCTGGTGCTGTTGTTGTTGTTGTTGATGGTGGTGGTGGTGTTGCTTTGTTTTTGATATTGTTTCTGTACTTGGTATTGGTGTTGCTGTTGTCGTTGGTGTTGTTAATGTTGTATTTGTTGTTGTTGGTGTTGTTGTTGTGGTTGTTGTTGTTGTTGCTGTTGTTTGTTATCGTCGTCCCCCCCGCAACCCACCCGCGACCCACCCGCGACCCACCCCGCGACCCGCCCGCGACCCACCTGTAACCCACCTGCGACCCACCCGCGACCCGGCCCGCGACCCACCCGCAACCCCTTCGCGACCCACCCCGCGATCCGCCCGCGACCCACCCGCGACCCCACCCGCCAACCACCTGCGGCCCACTCGCGACCCTGCCCACGACCCACCCGCGACCCACTCGCGACCCACTCGCGACAGACCTGCGACCACCCCGCGACACACCAGAAGGTCGGCGCCTGCGGCGGGCTCGTTGCAAAATTTGTTAGACTTGGGCGCCTGCGGCGGGCTTCTTCAGAGCCTCGCAGACTGCCGACGTCCCCGCCGCCCCCTCACTCTCAGTCGCAACTGCGGGGTAAATACATAACGGGGGGGCTAGGGCCAGGGGTCCCCAAGCCAGAGCCTCGACTGGCGACTGGTGTTCCGGGGGTGTCGTCAAGCTTCCCGGAGCCACCGGCTGTCCCCACAGAGGACCACGAGAGCCCCAAGACAGTTAAAGAGCGCCCCAGGACAGCCCAGAGGGGCCCAAAGAAATCTCCCCACAGGAGCGTCAATAGGCCAAATTTGTACATGTCCATTCGGTTTTTGCGGCTCTGGGCATTCTGGCTTTTTCGGCATCCTGACCGCCTACAGCGGCCCAAAGGGCCTCGCCCCGGGACAGGCCCCATACCCTCCAAGCGGGCCCCAAGACAACCCAAGAAAGCCCGAAGGCGGCCCAAGAGAGCCCAGAGGCGGCCCAAGATGGCATCCGTAGGGCGTCCGAGATGACCCCCGGGCGACCCCAGAGCCCCCCAAGACGGCCCGAGAGCACCCCAAGACGGCCCTGGCGGCCAGAGGGGCCCTCCAAGTCGCCCCCATACGGTCGAAGTGGGCCCCAAGAAGGCCCCGAGCCAGCCCAAGAGGGCCCCAAGACGGCCAAACAGAGCCCCGAGGCGGCCCAAAAGAGCCCCACGAGAGCGTCCAAAATACGTTTGCTTCCCCAGTAACCTTGCTTCCAGAACATTCGCCTGTGCCGATCCCGAAAACTTCGAAGAACCCATACGAAGGCCCCCTTTCACCCGAGGATTTCCCTCATTACCCTCATCAGAAGCGAGCGCGCAGCGCATTCGAACGTTCGGGGCATGAGGAGGGTAATGCAGCCAGTGGGCTGAAACACAAGAGGATAGAGAGGGAGGGGAAAAGAAGGGAGCCTACCAGACTCCTCGATCATCTTGCTACGATCCGTCGCGTCGAAAGATGAATGTCTTGATGACGATGAAAAGGGTGCTGAAGCCAACGGGAGAGAGAAGCACATGGGAGGAGGGATGATATGGCGGCGGACATTGAGAAACGAGACAATCACAATTGGGACAGTGAAGTAAGACGGGGTGGAGGATGAATGAGAGAGAGAAAGGTAGACAGAAAGAGAAGGAGGGAGAAAGAGAGAGAACGAGAGAGAGGGAGAGAGAAGGAGAGAGAACAACAAAAAAACGGAGAAAGAGGATCAGAGACAGAGGGACAGAGAAAGCAATCGAGGAAGTATGATGATGAGAGTTGGGAGAAGAAGAAGGGAATTCGCCAGCCCCACGGGCCAAAGGCTTGCTGGGATCTCTGGCGAGTGGTAAACCGTCTCTCTAGTCAGCGCGCGCGGGGGGCGGCCCCTGGGGGGTCCCGGACGAAAAAGTACCCCGGCCGGTCCTGTCCAGAGAGGGGCTTCCCTTCCGGGCGCGGCTTTCCGGCGCCCCCGAGCGCTTCCCGAGGGCTGGAGGAGGAGGAGAAGGAGGAGGAGGAGGAGGAGGAGGAGGAGGAGGAGGAAGAGGGGGAGGAGGAGGAGGGGGGGGAGGAGGAGGAGGAGGAGGAGGAGGAGGAGGAGGAGGAGGAGGAGGAGGCCCCGAGAGTCCCCAAGACGGTCCAAAAGAGGGCTCCGAGACGCCGACCGATCGGCCAAGGCGCGCAAGATGGACGCTTGGCGGCCGCAGACGCTCCCACAAGACGGCCCAAAGAGGCCTCGAAGAAGCGTCTCAAGAGGGCTCCGGGAGGCGAACACCACAGATGTCCGATTGGTGTTTGAGGGATGTTGACGTTCCCATCTGTTCGGCTTCCCGACGCTTCAGGACGGCCCACGAGGAAGCACATATCGCCCCAAAACGACCAAGAGGCCTCCAAGAGAGCCCCACGAGGGCCCAGGGGGGCCCCAAGACGGCCCCGAGAGGCCTCCAAGCCGGCCCAAAATATCCCCAGGACGGCCCCGAGAAGGGGCCAGGCGAGGAACCCGAACGGGCATTTCAAGCCCTCGGCCCCTAGAGGCTCCCGAGACCCCCAACGAGGTTTCGAAGAAGCGTCTCAAGAGGGCTCCAGGAGGTAAAAAACATAGATTTCACTTCGGATTTTGAAGGATTTGGCCGTTCTCATATGTTCGGCTTTCCGACGATTCAGGACGGCCCACGAGGCCCAAACTATCGCCCAAAGACAGCCCAAGAGGCCTCCAAGACGGCCCAAGATATCACCAGGACAGCCCCAAGGGGGGGGGCCAGACGGGGAACCCGAACGGACATTTCGAGCCCTCGGCCCCAAGAGGCGCCCAGGATGCCCCAAGAAGCCCCCACGAGCCCCCCAAGAGGCTCCAGGAGGCCACCAAGAGGCCCCACAAGAGGCCCCCAAGACTCCCAAGAGGCCCCCACGAAGCCCCACGAGGCCCCCAAGAAGCCCCCCGAGAGGCTCCCCAGAGGCTCCCTCCGACGAGATCCCAAGAAGCATCCATGAGGTCTTTGGCCCACAACCCAGGTGCGTGCCGAAACTCTCCTACATCGGGGATGGACAGACCTCCCTTTAGTAAAACGTGGTTTAGTGAAAACGACCTCGGGCCCAAACCTGGCGGGCGCAAGCCTGGAAAATAACGGCCGCGGCGCTCTCTCGAGAACCGGAAACGGACAATTCACTAATCGACGTGTCAGGGTAGGAGGTCTATCCACCTCCGACTACAGCTCTCTTGAGCTACCTTGGCGCCCTCTGGGGCAGTCGAACAGCTCCCTTCGACAGGGTGCGAGCCACGTCTCCAGAGGTCTCCTCGAAGATCGAACTGCCCTCACCCTGGGCACGAGCGCGCCACCACGCAGCCACAGTGATGCGAGGTGGGCCGGCGGACTGAGCGAAGCGATTCCATACACAGGAGGACGGCAATGAGCAGGCCGAGGTCGAGGAGGGCCCTCGCTCTGACGATATGTGGCGATCGGGCTTCGAGAATTGGCCCTGACCCGTCCGATGTTGAGCCGCTGTTCCAGTCTGCGCTAGAACCGAAGCGCGCGTGGATCTAGAAACCAAATAAATGAATGTATAGAAGTATGTATGTATAATGTGTATATGTGCAAATAGAATAGATCGACACATGTATACAAATACAGACAGACAGACAGACAGACAGACAGACAGACAGACAGACAGACAGACAGACAGACAAACAGAAAGAAAGACAGGCATACATGTATATATCAGTCGTATCGTTCTGGTCTCCGTGGGATATTTTCCAGGGTGACAATGAAACAACAAATGATTATTCGGCGGCGATTTCATCGCAGTCGGGATCCAGTGGAGGGGGGGGAAGGGGGGTCATCATTTTTGAAACATGTTTTGGACATTAGCTGATCGTCGGCGATCCATTGTGAGATCGTCCTGGCCTGGGGCCCGATGGTGGGCCCAGAGGTTCAGATCGAAAACACACTCCGGGATCGACGAAGTATGCCTACAAGCCTCCTAGATGGGGTGGGGGCAAATGGGGTCGGAAGATCGCGCCGTATCGCAGATACATCGGGGATGCATCGGCGATGTATCGACGATGCATTGGCGATGCACCGGGGGTGCATCGTCGACATCGGCGATGCATCGGCGACGTCGACATGAAGCAAATCGGGCTCCACATCGAGCCGCATCGCCGCTGCATCGGCGATGCGGCGCGATCCTGCGACCCCATCTACACCGACCCCATCTGGGAGGCCTGGAGATGTGCCCCGAGCCTTCTCCCGAAGGTCGCCCGTCCACTCGTTGACGAGGGCGTCGGCGACGTCCTTGGGTCGGTCTCCTGGCCCCGCCTCTCGTCCCTCTCGCGGGAGCGCCCAGCGTCGGGGGAGGGGGGGGGCGAGCCAGGGGCAGGAGCGTTTGGTGGCAACTCATGGGAGCCTCCCATGCCATCTCGTCGGCTCGTGCGAAGAGACGCTGATCGAGGCTAAATGGAGCGCTACCCGACGCTGAATCGGCGCTATCTCGTCGACTCCCAGACGCTCATCGACGCTAATCGCTAATCCACGCCAGAGACGGAACTCAGAGGGCACGCGAGGCTCCCACGCTTCGCCACCGAAGGAACGAGGGGCAGGAGTTGGGGCTGCACAGGACGTCCGAGAGTTGTGAGGCAATGGAGAACGCACACCCTACCTGGTGACTCATCGCGAAGTTCGCCAGGGTCTGCCTTTTTAGGCAAGCGCGTTCCACTACTCGCGAGGTGCCTCCTCGCAACAGTCCGAGAAACACATGTCTGCTTTGCTGTAATATATATATATATATATATATATACACACACACACATATAACGGCGCTCCGGGTCCGGGGGCCCGGGGCCGGGACCCCGACCACAAACCCCGGGGGGCCCGGAGGCTCGTCGGACCGCCGGACGCCGTCCAAGATCGTTCGCAGGCGGCTTCGGAACGCGCTCCGATGGCTCCAGATGCCTTCCAAGACGCCTGTCATGACACCAAGAAGGTCCCAGAAGCCTCCAAGACGCTCCGAGAGGCAGCCCAAGAGAGGCCCAAGAAGCAAAAATCGTGTCATTCCTATGGGAAAACGTATATTTTTCGCATGTTCGCCTCTTGGGCTTTCACCGCGTCCAAGACGGCCCAAGAGGCGCCCAAGACGGTCTACGAGGCCTCCGGGAGCGCTCCAAGGCTGCGCACGAGTGGCCCAGGACGGCCCCAAGACGGCCGAAGAGAGCCCCAAGACGAGTTCGAGAGGGGTCCCAGACGGAGAAAGCCAACCTCGAATTCCGAGCTTCCGGCCCAAGAGGCTCCAGGAGGCGCCAAAATGCCGCCAAGAGGCGCCAAAAGGCTCCCAAAAGCACCCCAAGACGTTCCGAGAGGCACCCCAAGAGAGGTCCAAGAAACAAAAATCGTGTCATTCCTATGGGAAAACGTATATTTTTCGCATGTTCGCATCTTAGGCTTTCACCGCGTCCAAGACGGCCCAAGAGGCCTCCAAGGCCGGCCTACCGGGAGCGCTCCAAGGCTTCGCACGAGTGGCTCAGGACGGCCCCAAGACGGCCCAAGAGAACCCCAAGACGACTTCGAGAGGGGTCCCAGAAGGAGAAAGCCACTCTCGAATTCCGAGCTTCCGGCCCAACATATCCCAGGAGGTGCCAAAACGCCGCCCAGAGGCGCCAAAAGGCTTCCAAAATCAGCCCAAGACGTTCCGAGAGGCACCCCAAGAGAGGTCCACGAAACAAAAATCGTGTCATTCCTATGGGAAAACGTATGTGTTTCGCATGTTCGCATCTTGGGCTTTCACCGCGTCCAAGACGGCCCAAGAGGCCTCCAAGACCGCCCCAAGACGGCCCAAGAAGCTTCCAAGAGGGCCCCAGGACAGCCCAAGAGGGCCCCAAGACGGCCCAAGAGGCGCCCAAGATGGCCCAAGAGGGCCCCAAGACGGGCCCAAGAGGGGGCCCAGAGGGGGACCACGAACCGCAAGCTCGAGCCTTCCGCCCCAAGAGGCCGCCAGGAGGCCCCAAGGAGGCCCCTCAAGAGGCCCCAGGAGACCCCCAAGAGGCCCAAAGGAGGCCCCGAGAAGCCCCAAATCGGCCCCCAAAATGCTTCGAACCTGCTTCCAGGAGGCCCCCGACAGGTTCAGAGGCTCCCGAGAAGCTACGTCAAACTCCCAGCGAGCGGCCGGACGAGGCCCCCCACAAAATCACAAGAGGGTTCCAGTATTTGTATCCTTCAGCGCTCTCTGGCCTTCTTCCCCCTGCCCCCTTCCCTGCGACTTTCGTTGACTCAAGCTCGCCTCCTAGCTAGAACCTAAGCGCGCGCGAAGCGCGCGCGTGGTTCTAGTATATATATATATATATATATATATATATATATATATATTATATATATATATATATATCGTGGATCCCCCGCGGGGGATCCAGGCCATTTGCGAGCAGTTACTTTGCGAGTAGTGGAACGCGCTCGTCGATTTTTGGCCGCGCACCCACCAGCGAGGGAGGGGGAGAGGAGGACGAGGAGGAGAAGAGGAGGAGATGGATGAGGAGGAGGGGGAGGACGAGAAGGAGGAGGAAAAAAGGGAAGGAGGAAGAGGAGGGAGGACGACGAGGACAGGATGAGGTGGAGGGGAAGGGGGAGGGGGAGGGGGAGGAGGAGGAGGAGGAGGAAGAGCTGCAGAGTGGACACGGGCCAGGCAGACTGCAGCCGGGCGAACGGGCACCCCGCGCCTGCCACCGGCGCGCCGCTGGCGCGGGCGAGGCGGAGGCGGGAAGAGCGCACACAGGGCAGAACCCAAACGGTGCTTTTCGTTTTCGCTTTGTTTTCGTTCGTTTTGCTTCGTTTTCCTTCGTGTTGTCTTCACTCCGTTTTCGTTGTGTTTTCGCTTTGTTTGTTTTGTTTTGGTTTCGTTTCGTGTTGTGTTCGTTTTGTTTTCGTTTTCGTTGTGAACCTCATTTGTTTTGTTTTCGTTTTCTTTCGTGTTGTCTTCAATCCGCCTCTGCCGCAAAACGGAGTCGAAGCGAAAACGGCCAACGAAATCGCAAAAACACCGCTTGGGTCCAGCCCTGAGCTCATATCCGCAAGAGGACAGCTCTGGGTCGGGCATGCCTTGCTGCAGTCGGACTATTGGGCGAAAAATCAAAAAATACGCGACAAGACTCCACGGTAGCAAAAACGGACACGCTCGACGGATCGTCCCCCCTCGGCCATGCCAGAACGCTCCTGCGCACTCGTCGCCTGTCGGGAGCAGCCAAGAGGGGGGTGTCCAAGAGGGGGGAGTGCAAATCATGACCGGCGGCACGTGCGCGGCCCAGCGGGGGGGCCAGGGACGTAATGAAGTAAGAAGAGGCGCCATGAGATCTGGAGAGATATCATGGCCCCCGCCATGATATCCACCCCCCCCAGTCATCACCCCCCTCTTTTCCGCTCCCGAACCTGGAGCGGCCGATCCCCGGCCTGCAGGCCTGCCAGAGAGGCGCAGGGGCGATTTTTGCTCTGACAAAAACCAGCCGCACGCGTACCAGCCTGCTTAAAAAGATTGAGGCCAACGACGGAGACGCTATTCGACCCAGCTCCTCGCAGCGCGGGAGAGGTCGTCGTCGTCGTCCGAGTCGCTGGCAATGGGGGGGCCAGAAAGGTCCTCCCACAAGGCCGAAACAGCCTGGGACACAGGAGGAGAGAGATGCTCCTGCCCCGACCACCCCATCTCGAACCCTCCCTGGTGGGTCGTTTCGGCGATGCATTGACGATGCTTTGCGATTCGGCGCGATCCTCCGACCCCGTCTACTCCGATCCTATTTGGGAGGCCTAGACTGGGACTCAAGAGGACATACTAGTACTATGCGTCCCCCTCGCAGGCCTGCGTCCGACCCGAACATATAATAAAACAATATTGGAATATATCGTTCCCCGAGCGGTACGGCCAGAACGCGCCCTCCAAGGAGTGTATACTATTGGACTTCTCCGCGAGTGCACATCGCATTCGCATGGTTGGGTGGCGCCGACGACGCCGACGCTGACGCCGACACCGACGACGCCGCCCCCGCCGCCGCCGCCGCCGACGCTGATGGACGCCTAGACAATCGGAGATATGGGTCCCCCGTGGGGAAACCAAAAGGTGCCGATACTGCTACACCCTGGACCTCTCCCCGGGTTTGTTCGGACCAGAATTTCGCAGCGAATCCAGCGGTGGCGACAACGGCCACTCAGGAGGCCCCAAGAGGGGGAAAGCGGGCGAAGGGCAGCGGTGTGGCTACCTGTTCCTCCTCTGGCCCCGCGTCCCCTCCGAACTCGCTGCTCAGCCGGACGATCTCGGCGATGTGCGCCTCGAAATCGCCGGCGGCCCCGCCTGAGGGGGGCGTATGTCACGGGAACGGGACCGCCGAAATGCCAAAATCTACGCCGGGACCGTCAAACAACGACGGTCGACCCATCCCCCAAACATCCGCCGACCCTGTCGGCGTGTGTGTGTGGGGCTTGTCCGTTCAAGTCGTCATCTCCGGCATTCGTTGGTCGTCGTCTCTGTCGCCCCTTTCCCTGCCTTCCCCCTTTCTCTGGGCTCGTCGAAGCTCCCTCCTTTCCCAGGGACGTCCTCAGCGCGCCAGCAAAAGCGAAGTTGAGCCACGCCGTAATTGAGTCGAATTGAAGCCCCTTCCCTTCGATCCCTCCCCCGCTGGGGGGGGGGTCCCCGGGGAGGGTCCCAGGGAGGGTCCCGGGGGTGGTCCCGGGGAGGGTCCCGGGGGGGGGGGGGGCTGGGTCAGATACGACGCCCCCTCGGAGAGTCCCAGGGCCCAAAGAAGCCCCATGATGGGCCAAGAGTGCCCCAAGAGGCCCCAAAGACAGTCCAAGAGAACCCCGAATCACCGAACGATCTGTCCAAGACGCCTTGACGGCCTCCAGACGGCCCAAGAGGCCTCCAGTAGCTTTCCCACGAGAGCCCCAAAAGAAGCTTTCCCACGAGCGCCCCAAGAGGCCCCTAAGACGGCTCCAGGAGAGTGCCCAGACGGGGGACCCGAACGGACATTTCGAGCCCTCAGCCCCGAGAAGCCCCCAAGAGGCCCCGAAGAAGCCAAGACGCCCCAAGAGGTCCCAAGAGGCTCCCAAGGGGCCCCCAAACTGCCCCCATGAGCGCTCGGAAAAAAACCCAAGAAGCACCCCTGAGGACTCAACCCACATCAGATTCGTCGTCGCTACCGCCGCCGTCGCCGTCGTCGCTCCCCTTCAAGGACGGATCCCGGAGCTCAAAAAGGCCTCTGGACCAGCGAAGATTGCCCCGAGACGCCTTCAGGACAGTTCAAGAAAACGTTGAATCGCCGAACGATCTGTGCAAGACGGCTTCGCAGCCTCTGGACGGCCCCATAGGCCTGCAAGACGGCGCAACGTGCCTCCAGGCGCTATCCCACGAAGGCCCAAACAAGCAAAATCGTTTGATTCTCGTCCGTTGTCCATAGATTCTTGCGTTATCGTTTCTTTCGCTCCCCGAAGCTCCCAGATCACCCCACATGCCCCCAAGATCGCCCCGAGACGCCCCAAGAAGCCTCCAACAGAGTCCTAAACTTCCTCCACCTCCAACTCATTCTCCTCCCCCTGCCCCCCCCTCGCTTTCATCTTCGTCGATCTCAGGGTCGGCAGCACCGGCCGTAGAGCCTTCGCAATCGACTGTCGCGTTCCCCGGAAAAGGAGGAGAAGGAAGACGAGCGAGGAGGAGGAGGGGGAGGAAGAGGAGGAGGAGGAGGAGGAGGAGGAGGAGGAGGAGGAGGAGAAGGAAGAGAAGGAGGGGGAGGAGGAGTAGGAGGAGGAGGGGTAGGAGGAGGATGAGGATGAGGAGGAGGAGGGGCAGGAAGAGGAGGAGGAGGAGGAGGGGGAGGAGGACGAGCAGGAGGAGGAGAAGGAGGAGGAGGAGGATCCCTGAAGGCCTCCTTCTGCACCCTAAAGGGCACCTTCAGGGGCCCTCAAGGTCCTCCTCCTCTTCTTCCTCCTCATCCTCCAACTCCTCCTCCAACTCCTCCTCCTGCTCCTCCTCCTCCTCCTCCTCCTCCGCCTCCTCCTCCTCGTGCACGTGCACCACCGAGACACAGCCACATCCACAAGTCCACACAACTCCACGTGGCCAGCCTACCCGTCCTACAGGCGGGGATGGGTACCGTCTCCTTCGGCTTCCGCGCCGCCCATCCCCACCCGCCAGGAAAGAGAGAGATCTCACGTGGCCTCTGCGCCGGCGTGGGTCGGGACGGTCCTGACGGCGCAGAGGCCGGTGCCCTGCCCTGGACCCCCTGGGAGGCGGCGGAGGCATGGACACGTGGCGGTGGCAGGTATCCAAATCCACCGCTCCTAAAAATGAGCAGTGTCCGACCGTCCCAGCGTTTCTGTAGACCTACCACGACATGCTCTCGGAGCACAGACAAGTTCTGAGAACAAAGGCAATGCTCTTAGAACGTGAGCCCGATGTGCTTAAACAAGACAGTTCCAGCCGGACATGTTCTACTACAGTTTCGTGCAGGCTACAAAATGTCCTTAGAACATCTATTTGGTGGGCCTATAGGCGAGCCAGGACGCTTCGCCACTGTTCGATCAGGGGGGACCTTCACCAATGAGAGCAAACGATGCAAGACCAATAGGGCGGCCGACTGAGCGAGGAGGTTCGCCGGCCATCTTGCCCCCACACTACGGGACCGTGGGGAAGCAAGCCGACGAAGGCGGACAATCCCAGGCTGTCAGGGTGGCCGGGGGGAAATTGCCCATGCACAACTCAAAGCCAGGGGGGTGACAACCCCTATCCCCATTCCATTCCCACTTCCTATTCCCATTCCTGTTCCTATTCCCTATACTATTCATGTTCCTATTTGTCCTCCTGCGCCTCCTCCTCAATCTCCAACTGCTGCTGCTGCTGCTCCTGCTCCTCCTACCCCTCCTCTCCCTCCCCCCTTCCCCCTCATCCCCTCCTCCCCCCCGCACTATCCTCCTCCACCTCCGCCTCCTCCTCTTCCCTTCCCTTCATCCTGCAGCTGCGAACATACAGCGCCGACACTGTGAGTCTGCACAAGCGATCGCAGGTGTCGAATAGAAAATCTGCTTGAACGCGACGGCAGAAAAATTGCCGGGGGGCAGACGATTCAATGCCGGCTTGATTTTGTTAGTCTGCCCATCTCATCTAATTTGAGGCCCCTCCGCGGGGGGGGAGGGGGGGGCATTTCTACAGTCCTGGGGCACGATTCTGAGGCTGCGGATGCTGCAAATTTGTGATATCCTCGTGGTTCCGAAAGAAAAACACCGGTCCAGACCCGAAACCACGAGTATCGACCACTCCGCGACTTGGAAATGGACTTGTCACGATTGGCGAATCGACGAGTCGCGGGAAGCCGACTGGCCCATCGCCAGTCGACTTCTCCGCGACTTGTCGACGAGGCCAGTCAACGGCTCTCGCGTGGCCTCCTCATGGCCCAGACCTGAGAACCGACAAGCCTGATGGGCAAGTTTTCCACCACCACTACCGTATGTAGGTCGGGGGAGAGGGGAGGATGAGGAGCTCCTCCTCCTCCTCCTCCTCCTCCTCCTCCTCCTGATCCTCCTCCTCCTCCCCCTCCCCCTCCCTCTCCTACATATGGTGGTGGTGGTGGAGAATGGGCCCGTCAAAGCCGCGGAAGACCACTTCCCAGGCTCGCCGCCAGAGCCTTCCGGCCCAGAACGGCGAGCCGCGGAAAGCCTTCCGGCCTCGCGCGGATCGACGCGGCCGGCTCTTCGGCCCGGGGCCTCTCTTCGGCCCGGGCGGGCAAGAGGATGCCCATGCCCACCGCGCCTCGGAGCTCTTGGGACCCACTTCCCCAGACACCAGAGATGGGATGCACAAAGACATACTAGTACTAGATGTTCTCCTTGGAGGCGCGCGTCCAACACAAACATATAGTATACCCATCTTGTAGTATATCGTTTCCCGAGCGGTGTGGCCGGGATGCGCCCGCCACGACGCATGTACTATAAGATTTCTCGGTGCGCGCATCGCCCCCGGGGGGCGACGCACATATAGTATAAGTATGTTGGGGGGACGCCGAAGAGAGGCGCAAAGAGCGCAGAAGCGAGAGGTTTGTCCATGTCCACTGCGCTCCGGCCTCTCTGGCGCCCCTTCCTGGTAAGTGCAGAAAGTGCAGCGCGTGGTGGATAGGTATGCAGGCTTTAGCCTGCAGCTTCCTCGCAGTCCACTCACGGACAAGGCTCCCGCTCGAGACGACCTCAAAACGCGAGCCTGCGAAACCCAAAAGAGACAAACAATACATGTTTCGGGTTACCCCGTCTGGTTTGCCACATTCCCTTGGGGGTCCTACAAAATTCGTGTTCCCCCTCGAGATGGACGATGGTCCCGCTCAAAACTACCTCCAGATTCAAGTCTCGAACACTCAGGAGAGACGACAAAGATAGCATTCGGATGAACCTCTCCGAATGGTTGCATGATCTGGGTAGCCCTCTTTCGACACGTCCTCCGAACCCCCTCAAAGACACTGCTCCCGCTAACACATGCGCTAAGGAATTCCTCAAAACTCAAGCCTCAGAAACCCAAGGGTGACGACAAACAACGATAACGATGGGATTCGGTTGACACCCTCAGATTGGTACGCAAATTCGTGTCGTGACCTCGGCATGGATCTCTGACACTCTGACACCGCGGGAATCGTTCACCTTTTAAACGATCTGCTGCTCCCGAAACGTCAGTTCGTTCGCCATAGACCTACTCTGGGCCGTCGGCGGCGTTCGACCTTGAACGCCAGCGGCATCATCGCCGCAGGTCGGCACGACGCGAACCTACCGTAACATGCTGCCGCGGGTCCTACAGGGAGGGGTTCCGCTCGAGACGTCGTCGCCGTTCACTCACGGAGGGGGTTCCAGCTCAAGACGTCCTGAAATTAAATGCGCTCGCGACTACGATCCTACACGTGCACGGATGATCGCCCAACATGACTGTGTGAGTGTCTGAATGATGGTGACGATGGTGGCGATGATGTGATGATGGCAACGAAGATGATGCTGATGATGACCATGATGATGAGGTCCATGATGATGAATAAGATGATGATGCTGATGCTGATGATGATGAGGGGAAGCTGATGACAATGATGACGTTGATGCAGATAAGTATGACTGCTTGAACGGACCGACGCCTTGGTATATACGTTGCAACCATACGATCGGTAAGCTACTCCCCCACACGGCATCTGACGAACATAATGCCACGCCAACTCAAGGCCAGGCGCCACGGGCAACAAATCACGTGCGGTCCGACCTAAGATACAGACACACCCTTCAAAAACATGAGGCCCCCCGCCGGATGTACAATAACATCTAATTATCCCAGTGCGACCCTACCTAGGAGTTGGAGCATTTAGGAATGCTATGCTATGCGATGCTGCGCTATACTATGCTATACTATGCTATGCTATGCTGTGCTATGCTATGCTGAGCTATGCTATGATTGGCTATGCTATGCTATGCTATGCTGTGCTAATGCTGTGCTGCGCTATGCTGCGCTCAGCTGCGCTCAGCTAAGCTAAGCTAAGGTAAGCTAAGCTATGCTAGGCTAACTAAGCTAGGCTAAGCTACGCTAAGTTAAGCTAGGCTAGGCACAAGCTAAGCTAAGCTAAGCTAAGCTAAGCTAAGATAAGCCAAGTTAAGCTAAGCTAAGCTAAGCTTGGCTTAGCTAAGCTTAGCTGGGTGAACCCAGGGGGCGCAACTGGGGGAACCGCGGGGCGGATGCCGGGGAACCGCCCGGGGCGAGCCCCACTGCCCGGGCCCTTTAAGCACATAGGGTAAGAACCCTTCTAGGCAGAGCCTAGGTAGGGAACAAACGCAAAGAACGATAATTTTGGTTTTTTAATCAGCTTGGGGGGTACCCCCCCGACGGGGGTCAACCTCGCCTCGTCGTCCCGCCGCGACGGGGGTCGGAGCGCCTTCGGCGCGCGGTTGCTGCCCGCGACGGGGGTCGATCTGGAGCTGTCGGCGGGGGTGACGCCACCCCTACGCTTATTAACAAACTCGGAGTAGGGTATACACCTCTGTCTTATACCTCGGTCCGACTGTGAAAACTAACGGTCTGCTGACCAGCCGGCGGGCCGGGCCCCTGACGGGCGCGGGACGGGCTAGAGACGCCAAGCAAAACGGAACCCTCGTTGGACGTCGTCGCAAAGCCATCGAACAACTCATGTTCAACAAGGGCGCTTAATTTCGCGCTTCGCGCTGCGCGGAGCTTCAACAACTTCGCGCTCTCGCGCCGCCCCCCGAGGGAGACGAGAAGGATGAAGGAAAACCGGAGCCGAACCGCGAAGCGCGCATAACTTCGCGCCCTCGAGGGCGCCCTTGTGCTCAAGGGCTGGGAGAGTACCTCCTGCCGTGCCTGGGAGACATGCTCCGAATCACGCAAGGAGGGGAAGCGGATCGATCAATCAGCCAAATAATGTGAGCACTCCGCTGGTGGCCAACGGACCAAGAACATAATCTCGAGGAGAACAAAACGGCTGGCGGAGGGAAGTTGTCCCGCTGGTGCCCTCTGCGTTGCTACCCTACGCGTTGCCTGCGCCAGGGCCAGCCAATTAAGATACAAACTCGGATGTAGGGATATCTCTGGCGGCGCTTGTGCCCTTTTACGGTTTTTACGGCCTCCACCGAGGTGCCGGAGGGGAGTTAGTGGCTGTGGCAGCAACGACCTCGAGCACGAGCATGGGCAACAAAGCAGGCGGTGAACAGCCCCAGATACGGTGAGGGTATTGGATGAGCAACCCTTGAATCAGGAATCCAGGGTCTGGAAACCGGTGAAACTCCGATCGTGGATCGGCCATGGATCACACTGCCGCCCTCATCAGATAGGGAAGCCCCCAGGGTCTGAAGCCTCCTGGGCCCATTCCTCGACGAATGTCCCCACCGCAATCCCAACGCCACCCGCCTGCGCGCATCGACCGCGCCGCAGGAGGGGTGCCGAAACGCTGAGAGCACGGACCGGCGCGGCGCGGCGGGCAAGGGCGGGAGGCCGTCCCCCGTGCAGAGGCGGGGCGGACCGTGTCTCCAGGCAGCGGCACGGCACGAGCAGGCAGAACACCGGCGGGCGGCCAGGGGTCGGGACAGGGCTGAACCTCAACGAAATTTGGTTCGTCTTGCTGTCGTCTTGCCATGCCTTACTCCCGGCACCTCCCTGCCAAGACGAGAAGCACAGCACGGCCGCAGTCCAGCAGAACGGCTTTTGGAGGTCCAGCCCTGGGTCGGGAGGCAGCACCTTCCGACAGAGCTCCCCAAAGGACGGCACCTCCACCTGGCCATCGCTCGGACGTCCATTCCCTGTGCTTGTTTTCGGTTTCGTGCGTGGTTTTTTCGCCAAATGATCAAGGATGCTCCTCGATGGTCCTCGCAGAGAAAAAAAACGCACATGTCCGAGCGATGCCAAGCCACCGATCACAGGAGGACACAGACAAGCCAGATCCGGGCGGGACACTCAAGTCAGACGCATCATCGAGGAAGCAAACGTGCACCCGAACAAGCGAATGAAATTCGGCGAGCGGACCCGCACGGGCGGGCGCGCAGGGCGGACGGACCCTGGCGAGCGGGCGGGCGGCGGGCGGGCGGGGGGTCGGACGGGCGGGACATCAAAACTTGCCGTTTACAAACACGAGGGCGGGACATGAAAACTTGCTGTTTAAAACTTGCTGTGTACAAACACGAGGGCTGTTTAAAACGTGCCGTTTACAAACATTAGAAAAGGGGGCGGACGGTCGGTAAATCGAGGTAGCACACGCGTACCCAAACGCGCGGGTCGGGTCGGGCGGGAGGACCCTCGCTGGCGAGCGGGTCCAGCCTGGGGTCCGGCGGCGGGCGGGGCCCTACCAGGCGAGCGGGAGGCGGACCAGTCGGCGACGACCACGACGACGACGACGGCGACGACGACGACAACGACGACGAAACAAGGACACGCCGATGACGACGACGACGGCAACGACGACGACGACAAGGGCGACGACGACGACGACGACAACGAAAACGACGACGACGGCGACGCCGACGACGACGAGGACTCAGCGACGACGACGATGACGACGACGGCGAAGGCGGGAAGGACGACGACGACGACGAAACGACGACGACGACGACGAAGACGAAGGCCACGGCGACGGCGAGGGCGGTAACGACGACGACGACAGCAAAGGCGACAACGACGACAAGATCGACAACGACAACAAGAGCGATGGCGGCGAAAAGGGCGACGACGACGACCACGACCAAAACGACAACGACGACAATGGCGATGACGACGACGACGACGACGACAACCCTCCTCTGCACGTCCACGCGTCCTTCACTCCTTCTTCTTCTCCTCCTTCTCCTCCACTCCTTCCTCCTCCTCCTCCTCATCCTCCTCCTTCTCCTCCTCTTCCTCCTCCTCCTCCTCCTCCTCCTCCTCCTCCTCCTCTCCTCCTCCCCCTCCCCCTCCTCCTCCTCCTCCCCCCCCTCCTCCTTATCCTTTCCCTCCTCCTCCTCCCCCTCCTCCTCCTACTCCTCATCCTCCGCATCACCATCCTCCGTCCCGCTGCAGGTCTCGCGAACAGGGCATGAGGAACTTTGCCGGGGGAACCCAGCCTGGCGAACCGAGCCTGGGGCACTGGGCCTGGCGAACCGGACCTGGCGAAACGGGCCTGGCGAAACGGGACTGGCAAACCGGTCTCTGGCGAACCTCATTTTTCACAAGCCAATCCTCTGGCGAACCAGCCCTCTGGCGAACTGGTCCTCGGCGACCTGGTCCTCTGGCGGACCGGTCCTCTGTCCCACCGGCTCTCTGCCCTCAAAGGGCCACCCCGTGCCCATTTTGGGGGGGCCGGAGGCACCGATCTACCGCTGCACACACGCGCTCCCGGGGCCTCGCCCAGGGTGCGTTCTGAGCGGAGAATCTCGAGGCGGAGCCCAGCGTGGCGACGAGGGCCTCCCCAAGAAGCGCCCCAGCGGCCAGCGAGCACGAGAGAAAGTCGGTGCTCGTCCTCTGGCCCCCGCGCCCCCCCCGCGGGGGCCACCCTCGTTGGCAGCGCTCAGCGTGCGCAGGAGCTCCTCTGCAGGCCTCCCGCATGGGGTCCGAGGAGAGGTGGGGGTCGCAGGGCCGCGCCGCGTCGGCGAATGCACCGGCCATGCATCGGCGCCGCGTCGGCGAGGCATCGGCGCCGCCCGCGCGGAGAGATCCGGCCAAAACGTCGCCGATGCGGAGCGACCCTTCGAGACCCTGCGCTTGGACCCCATCTGGGAGGCCGAGCTCCTTGTGCTCGCCGTCCTCGCTCTCTTCGCCCTCCTCGCCCTCGTCGGGCCTCGCCTCCCCCACGCCGCCGGCGTCGGGGTCGCCGGGGCCGGTCCTGTGGGGAGGAGGAGGCTCAGGGACGCACGCGCCATGCACAACAGAAGGTCGTGGTGTTTTCGGCGGCGAGCCTACCCTGGGTTTCTCCATAAACGTGGGGGGGTACCCCCCGACGGGGGTCAACCGCGCCTCGTCGTCCCGCAGCGACGGGGGTCGGAGCGCCTTCGGCGCGCGGTGGCTGCCCGCGACGGGGGTCGATGTGTGGCTGCTGGCGGGGGTGACGCCCCCCCGACGCCAATCAAGAAACTAGGAGTAGGGGGGGGGCGGGGTTTCTCAGAAGACTCGGACGGCCTCGGGCCTTCTGAGAAAACCTTATGAGCCCTCCCGAAGACACAACAGACTTCGGAGGGAGGAGGCGCGAGGGCTTCCGAGTAACCGCGCCGCCTCCTGAGAAGGCCCCCTGGGCTCGCCGCCGGGCTTCTGCTCCTCGTTTCCAGCCCCCCCCCCCCGGCGGGACAGCTTCGGGCCCCACTACGGCCGTGAACTGATAAACGGCTAAGGATGAACAAACATCGGCCATGGAGGACAGGGTGGGGACTGCCCTCATGCAAACAAGCAGCATGACTGACCAGCATCGAACTTATCCCTGTCCCTCAGATCGGGAACCCCGAGGCGATGACAATATCAGGGATGTTCTCTCAGAAACTGCAGGTATCCTTCAGATCGGCACCGAGGTAAGGTGAGGCCAAACAAAACGATATGGATATGCTTCAAGCCGGTGAAAGACATCATATTCTTGGCCGTCCCGGAGAGAGCTCTGGTAGCGGAGGAAGGGGGAAGGGGTTACCTCCAGCTTTCGAACCCGCCCACCCCTCATCTCGCTACACCGTTCCACAGACCTCAAGTGCCATGAACAACTCAGTACTAGTGTAAGGGACCCACATAGACGTACGCGCCCAGCCACGTACATGAATGCAGCCCCCCCGTCCGCGAGACCAGCCTCGTGATACGAACGTTCGCGCAATGCGCACTGTCGAAACCAGCATGGACTCGTCTGCGAGTACGTCCTTGTCGTTCCTGAACTACGAACATGATTGGTCTGTTTCGGGATCTGGGGACCCTTTCTGGTCCCCCAGGGAACTGCAACAAAAAAGACTCTGGAGCCATGGGTCGCTCCTCACCTCCAGACATCCCCAGCCGCAGCCTGCAGAGATGGGAGGTGCTCTGAAAAGAATGGGACACGGCTTCAATAAAAAACTGACGGATGCTGTCTGCAGATGTCGACATTTGGAACGATTCTCGGGCTGCGCGACCGTCACACTAATACTCTGGATGAAAAAGCGAGCCCAAGGTGTCGGGGGTTCAAGGGACCCCAGTTGAAAGAATCCAGACATCTGATCTGGGCATCTGTGGGAGAAGCACAGGGACGGGGAATGGGGACAATCTGCATTTAGAGCAGAGCGTGCAGCAAAGCGAAATGGATCGTGGAGAGGCCGAGAATGGGGGAAGAGTTGGAGACCCAGCATCGGCATGAACAACGCCTTCCGGAGGTCCACGCTGATTTTTGGATCGGGCGCCGACCCCCTCTTGGCGGCGCCTGCGGCGCAGTCCCAGACGATAATTACGCGAACTGCGGAAGGGCGTCCAGCGCCGATCCGAGACATCCGCCTGGACCTTCAACAGTTAAGATTCCGATGATGGCTCTTCCAGAAGGGGGGTCGCCACATTGCGCCTTCGCCACTGTGGGGCGGGGGGGCAACAAGGGGGGGCCACATGCCCTAAAAATCTGCCACATGACCTCGGCACTCCGGCAGAGGCTGCTGCAGGGCTGCCCCACGAGCGCCACGTCGAAGGCGCAGGCGGCCACCACCGAATCGAAGGCCAGCCGAACTGGCAGCACGACCGACACCGACAGTCATTAGGTTAAGTCGGGCACGTCCCCCTGCAGGGGGATTCTGAGCAAACAAAAAGTCAAAATACACAGAAAATGCCCCACAAATGCTCGAAGATAGTCGAATAGTCCCCCGACTATTTTTTGACTGCTTTTGAATAGTTATTCCCCCTGCAGAGGGACAGGCCCGACTTCATCGTAAGGCCGAGCGCAGCCTGGGGGGACGCCGAGCGCAGCCTGGAGGGTTTGGTTCGCTCTAAAAGCACCCTGTTTTTTGTTCTAGCGTTTACAAACTGAAAACGCAACAACGATGTCTGAAAACGTCAAGACAAGGC